CATCACACAAATTGATTGACATTTTGGTGCCTTTTACATGTGAATAAACATCACACAAATTGATTGAACATTTTGGTGTATTTTACATGTGAATAAACATCACACAAATTGATTGAACATTTTGGTGTATTTTACATGTGAATAAACATCATACAAATTGATTGAACATTTTGGTGTATTTTACATGTGAATAAACATCACACAAATAGAATGAACATTTTGGTGCCTTTTACACATGTGAATAAACATCACACAAATTGATTGAACATTTTGGTGTATTTTACATATGAATAAACATCACACAAATTGATTGAACAATTTGGTGTATTTTACATATGAATAAAGATCACACAAATTGAATGAACATTTTGGTATATTTTACATGTGAATAAACATCACACAAATTGATTGAACATTTTGGTGTATTTTACATGTGAATAAACATCACACAAATTGATTGAAAATTTTGGTGTATTTTACACGTGAATAAACATCACACAAATTGAATGAACATTTTAGTGCCTTTTACACATGTGAATAAACATCACACAAATTGATTGAACATTTTGGTGCCTTTTACACATGTGAATAAACATCATACAAATTGAATGAACATTTTGGTGCCTTTTACACATGTGAATAAACATCACACACATTGATTGATCATTTTGGTGTATTTTACATGTGAATAAACATCACACAAATCGAATGAACATTTTGGTGTATTTTACATGTGAATAAACATCACACAAATTGATTGAACATTTTGGTGTATTTTACATGTGAATGAACATCATACAAATTGAATAAACATTTTGGTGTATTTTACATGTGAATAAACATCATACAAATCGAATGAACATTTTGGTATATTTTACATGTGAATAAACATCACACAAATTGAATGAACATTTTGGTGCCTTTTACACATGTATATAAACATCACACAAATTGAATGAACATTTTGGTGCCTTTTACATGTGAATAAACATTACGCTAATTGAATGAACATTTGGGTGTATTTTACATATGAATAAACATCACACAAATTGATTGAACATTTTGGTGTATTTTACATATGAATAAACATCACACTAATTGATTGAACATTTTGGTGTATTTTACATGTGAATAAACATCACACAAATTGATTGAATATTTTGGTGTGTTTTACATGTGAATAAACATCACACAATTTGAATAAACATTTTGGTGTATTTTACATGTGAATAAACATCACACAAATTGAATGAACATTTTCGTGTATTTTAAATGTGAATAAACATCACACAAATTGATTGAATATTTTGGTGTGTTTTACATGTGAATAAACATCACACAATTTGAATAAACATTTTGGTGTATTTTACATGTGAATAAACATCACACAAATTGAATGAACATTTTCGTGTATTTTAAATGTGAATAAACATCACACAAATTGATTGAACATTTTGGTGTATTTTACATGTGAATAAACACCCTTCAAACTGATTGAACATTTTGGTATATTTTACATGTGAATAAACATCACACAAATTGATTGAACATTTTGGTGTATTTTACACATGTGAATAAACATCACACTAATTGATTGAATATTTTGGTCCCTTTTACACATGTGAATAAACATCACACAAATTGAATAAACATCATGGTGCCTTTTACACATGTGAATAAACATCACACAAATCGAATGAACATTTTGGTGTATTTTACATGTGAATAAACATCACACAAATTGATTGAACATTTTGGTGCCTTTTACACATGTATATAAACATCACACAAATTGATTGAACATTTTGGTGTATTTTACATGTGAATAAACATCACACAAATTTAATGAACATTTTGGTGTATTTTACATGTGAATGAACATCACACAAATTGAATGAACATTTTGGTGTATTTTACATGTGAATGAACATCACACAAATTGATTCAACATTTTGGTGCCTTTTACACATGTATATAAACATCACACAAATTGATTGAACATTTTGGTATATTTTACATGTGAATATACATCACACAAATTGAATGAACATTTTGGTGTATTTTACATGTGAATGAACATCACACAAATTGAATGAACATTTTGGTGCCTTTTACATGTGAATAAACATCACACAAATTGATTGAACATTTTGGTATATTTTACATGTGAATATACATCACACAAATTGAATGAACATTTTGGTGTATTTTACATGTGAATGAACATCACACAAATTGATTGAACATTTTGGTGTATTTTACATGTGAATAAACATCACAAAAATTGATTGAACATTTGGTGTATTTTACATGTGAATAAACATCACACAAATTGATTCAACATTTTGGTGCCTTTTACACATGAATAAATCTCACACACGAGACATTTTTGATATTAGTTTAATTTGCTATCTAATGCAGTAAGATCAGTGGTGATAGCATTATCATTCCAACTCTTCCAGAACACCCACTGTGGTTGGCTCTGCTGCTGATTAGTCAACATTAATCTTAACGATCTACTGCTCATCTCACGCATTCATGAGCAATTTTGGAGTATTTATACATGAGTAAACCTCACGCGAATTAACGGGAACAGGTGGCAGGCATTCTAATGACTGAAGACCTGAAGACAAACCTTTTTCTCCCGATAAGTGAAATATTTAACTTTGATATGACACATACTGAACCCGAATCCATCCTTTCAATGTGATTGGAGGGTTAGGGGATGGAGAATGCCCAAAAGTCCCAAAAATAAAATGGGGAAAAGAGGCCATCCTTGATGGAAGAAGAAAGCCTAGACTTAAATTCTGCATTTTATGTAATTTTGAATACGTAATAGTGATACCACCAAGTAACAAGTTCCATTGATGCATTTCAAAGCTTTCTTGCTATTTCACGTGACCAGGATGGCCGTACTTTTTTCCATCTTCTTTTTTGCTGTTTCTTTAGTATTTTTTTATTTTCTTTCATTTTTTCCCTTTCCTCGAATTTAATCTCCCCAAACCCTGATATAGAATTTAGATATTTATTGAATTTGAAGTCTATCGCTTAAAGATCTGTGGCACTACCATTCCTACTCTTGCAGAACACCTGCTGCCGCTCTGCTACTCGATTTGTCTGCAAGGCAACTAAAATCTCAACATCTTTTTTATTTTTATTTCTGAAATTTGAAATATCTTTCAACATTAATATAGATCACCACATGAGCTATTATTCATATTCTGATAATTTAAAATCAAACTAACACGGATTGTTGAATTATTTGGTGTTCCAGACTACGTTTCGTTTTAACATTTCAATTTGAAATGGAATGTTCAACATCTGCTGTTTTGATTTAATATTCATTTAAATCATTCTGACAGCTTTATAAAATCGATTTTAAATTGTTAGAATAATAACCGAAGCGATGATATGAATCTTGTCTCTAAATGAAAGAATTTATTTCATATTCTGAATTTTGTTTCGAGGGCTTATAACTTAAAGAGATTTGGTTATCGTGGTATGAGTAATGGCTTCATAGCTTCCAAATCTGATGTCCCATTTGACGTGAAGACTTGATCAAATATGAGGCCGCTATCTGTACATGCAGATACTCGTTACAAATCTTAAGCAACTAGCTACTTTAAAAAGCTCTTTAAATATTTCTGAATTTAGTAAATATTTTAAATATTCCAAAATGAAATACAAAAACAGAAACTGAGTGTAAATTTGTATAACGAACGTGATGATTTGCATCAATTTTATTTTCTGTGCAGCATTTTTTCGCATTCGTCAGCATCTGGTTTTCATTTTTTTTCTTTCATTTTTCCTGTGCCATTCACAGCGGACACTTTTCGCGCCTCAGTGTGGGGTTGGTGGCAAGAACAGCAGATTGAATTCAAATTGTATTGGTGTAAATCAATGTTATCATTGTCCCTGATACATAAGATGATGGACCACAGTTAATTAACACTGCAGAATAGAACTTTATTCCTTTACAGCAAAAGACATGCTGCTACAAGAAATACAAAAACATCAACGATATGACATACACATAGTTAAACAAAATAAACATTTCAATTAAATATACAAATATAAATAATATAGATTTGAAATATAAATAATATATAATATAAAGAATACATATTTGAATTATAGAAATGTAAATAATATATAATATAAAGAATACATATTTGAATTATAAAGATTTAAATAATATATAATATAAAGAATACATATTTGAATTATAAAGATGTAAATAATATATAATATAAAGAATACATATTTGAATTATACAAATACATTATAAAAGTTAGATTGATGGCGGGGATCGAAAATGTTGTACAATAATATTAATAAAGTTACATAATTTGTTAAGTTGGCTGTACTGTTTGGAGTTAAAGATGTTAGAGAAAGCTATACTATTATTATAACATTTATAAGTAGTTGGGATATAATGGAATCTAATATTTTCAAAGTATGGACAAACAAAGATGTAATGATATTCGTCTCCAATATCGTGTCTATTACATAAGGGGCATGATCGTTCCTTGCGTTCGATGTTAAACCATCTTCCAGTTTCTATGGGGAGTGGCATATTGGCTGTCCTGAATTTACATAAAATTATCTAATTTCTATCATTTAATTTCAATAAGTATGGTTCAACTTCTAGTTTATATTTAAAATTCTATAATTTAATGCTTTGGGGGAGTTGTATAGGTCATTGTGCCATTTTTGGAAGAATTGATCTATTAATATGTGTTGAACTTTATGTTTAAGCCAGGGAATATTAATAAAATAATGGTCTATCCAAATAAAGGATAATCCGCAATCATCAAGTATATTTTTAACGTGAATAAGCCATTGGTTTTGGATTGAATTGTAAGTAAAACGATGTAGTAGTAATTTGTACATAATATAACTTAATTTAGTTTCTTTGTTTGTAATTAAACGAGCCCATAGTAACCATTCTCACTTTTATGTCAATATTTAAGGGACGTCGGGCAAGTTCACCATAAACCATATAATTTGTCAGAGTTGTCTCCCTTTATACTTATTATAGAACTCTTTTAGCTTGAAGTTACTTTTAGTCAAATGTTTACCATTATAAGAAAACGTCGAATTTCCTTTGGTATCTTTCTTAAGTTTTGTCATACCCACAATGTATGTACATTGCATAAATACCTGTAATACCTTTGTTTTATCGTTATAATGGTTCATGCATCAAGTTTCAAGTGTCTTTAAAAATTTGTTTAAAGATGGGTTCTCTTATTTTCATTATGAAAATGAAAATGCTAATACTTAAATGAATAGAAAGTAGATATGTTCTAATGACTTAAAATACCAGTTTGTCTCATAATTAATTCATAATTAGCTAAATTAGAAGAGAATTATCAGTAGAATGCAATGAGTGACTTATAAGTAAGGTCAAAAAGTATTTGTTTTTTTGTTTATCCACACTGTACATACATGTCCATTTATGGTTGGTTAAAACTCTTAATTATATGCAATAAGAACATAATGATATGATTAATAATATATGATAACTCATTAGAAACACCAATTTATTAAATAGTTTGTTTCAATTGACACTAAAAATAAGAAAAAACCCATCTCTAAATTGTCAATATCTGTTAGATTTTCTCCATATTATTTTCACACAGAAGACCACGTGAACGGTCTTTAAAACATATATCAATTATCATATGGTCATATGATAAACCTGTTCCTTTAGAGGAAATATGTTCTTGTTCTAGCAGTGGCAGCGCCAGCCTTCCGAGACTGGGGGTACAAATAGGGACAGACTGACTCAATGGGGGGACAACTGCTGAGGCTGAATTCAAATTTTACCTACTCTGATGTGGTGTCATAGTCTCTCATAGAGCGTCTTAGAAGGTTCTCTCAAGCAAATGACCACATCAATGACACTTTGTAAATGTTTGTATCTTTTAGTCAAAAAGTTAGAAATTTAGAAAATAAATCATTATTCAAACACAACCTTTTAAAAATCAGGAGAGACAGCAACATTAAATACATTTTTATACAACAACATTTCATATGTTCAACAAAACTGAATGATCCACTTAGCTAATATTGTTGAATAAATTATAATTACCCGTACAATTAAAATAGCCTTCATCATCAATACCCCCTTTGCCTACGTACAGATTCGACAAAAAATGGCCTGAACCTGTTTCTTTGTAATTGACCGAGTTTACAGTGGCTAATGAATCTGATTGGTTGTTAATCCTCCGTTTAGATGATGGGAATATTAATTAATTAAATTCAGCTATTATGAAAATGTCTTCGAATATTTTTTTTTTCCTGGAAAAATCGATAAATTCATCATCCGCAGATAAAAATATTAAAGACAGAATTTGTAGGGGTTGCCAATGTGTTTCTGTTTTAAAGAAATCGTTCGATTTGAAGATTGACTATGCCTAATTGTAGTAATCTCCCTTGATGTCAGATGACGGAAAATTCAAAATTCAGTCTGGGCGTCAGAGACTATATCCTCGTCATAGAAAGGAGAAGTCTGGGCGACAGAGACTAATATCCTCGTCAAAGACGGGAAAGTCTGGGCGTCATAGACTCATATCCTCGTCAAAGACGGGAAAAGTCTGGGCATTAAATATCCTCGTCAAAGACGGGAAAAGTCTGGGCGTCATAGACTCATATCCTCGTCAAAGACGGGAAAAGTCTGGGCGGCATAGACTCATATCTTCGTCAAAGACGGGAAAAGTCTGCGCGTCATAGACTTATATCCTCGTCAAAGACGGGAAAAGTCTGAGCGTCAGAGGCTAATATCCTCGTCAGAGACGGGAAAAGTCTGGGCGTCATAGACTCATATCCTCGTCAAAGACGGGAAAAGTCTGGGCGTCATAGACTCATATCCTCGTCAAAGACGGGAAAAGTCTGGGCGTCAGAGGCTAATATCCTTGTTATAGAAAGGAGAAGTCTGGGCGTCAGAGACTAATATCCTCGTCATAGAGAGGAGAAGTCTAGGACTATTTCGTTCAAAGAAAGTCAAAGAATATTCCGTTGACCAAGCAATTCGTTCAAAACAAGACACAATCGGGAGTAATAATTATATAATAGCGAACTCCTCAAACGAGAAGTACCATCATGAGTTTGAAAAAGTTATAAAAGAGTAAGAATGATCTGTTTCGCTATTGATTGTTTGAACTAAAAGTACAATCAAATCAAAGATAAAGAAACGGTTAAATGGTTAAAAATTGTAAGTTATAGGAGACCAGGCAATGTTTTGATTTTCTATCTTTTCTCCATCTGATGAAAGCCTGTTTACTTTTTCCCCCATAAAATGACTAGCACAATAACTCTGGTCTTTAAATCTATACAATGTAAATACTGGAGATCCACTGGAACCAGGACACGTTTTACATGAATATTTCAAACAGCTAACTTCTTTACACCGACAGTCTTGTCTTGCTTGGGCAATACGTCGACCGTGAATATCAAACCTTTCTTGTGAATTTCCCAAATCTCGTCCGAAAGTTACCATCTTAATAGCACCATGAGGATGACCTACACAACACATTTTTAATGACCGTTCTGTCAACGTGGTTATTAAATTTTCTGGTTTAGGGTGAAAATCGAATAAGCAGACGCTGCCAGGTAACTGTTTGATAAACAAATCAACCCCACTTATTTTACTAAAAATCTCCTTCAAGGTACATTGTTTAAAATACAATCTAGTACCACAACCAATAACTTTACCATTCCACACTAGTCTACATTTCTTAACTTCATCTTGGAAGATAGATTCTGGTATTTTAACAACATATTCATCATCAAATTTTACCACATCACCTGGTATCACTCTACTATTACCATCAGCTTCATCTATACGTACAGATATAGAAGTCATCTTCTGTATATTGGAAGGAATGGGTTGAAATTTAAAATAAGAGCTTTTTAAGTAACTGATAGAACCATTAGGCCATGAAATAAACATCAAGCAAATAAGTGAATCGTTTAGGTTTTCAAAAGACTCAAACATAATTTCAAATGCAATCAAAGTTGGGGTTGCTATGTCAATTACAATTTGATTGTCTTTATACATTTTAACAATATTTGGCAGAATTTCATCCATTTTGTCTAGTTGGCTATACACGAAATCATGTATAGGATCGAACTGGAAGAACGTGACATCTCTAAAAGGACACGTATATACAAGTTTCTCTCCTGTACTAGTCAATACACTGGTCTTATCTTTATCATCATCGTAATGAAACTCGACAGTACAATCTTTCACATCATCCTCTGTTTTAACAACATGATTATTTGTCTTTATATAATATTCATTAGAAACCTTAACCACAGACCCCGAACCTAATTTATACGGTTTCTGTTCCCCATTTACTGTCTTATACCACACTAGTCTGGCAACAAGGCTACCAATATGTTTAATCTTATCGAATATTTCTTTATTTCTGTGTTCATTAGGTAAATGTTCTAAAGTTAGATCTTTAAAGGGAATGAAATCTCGATGTCCAGGATTCTTTTTACACTCAATCTCATCTAAATCTTGACCATTCTCTAATATATCACCTTCTCTCGCTACTTCTATTTTAAGATCAGATATAAAGTCTTGTTGATCGTGATAACACCTAGCCATTCTGTTCAAGTTGTTTTACAACCAAGAAGAGAAACCTGAAATATGAAGATTAAAACAGAAATATAAAAGAAAGTATTCTGATATTCAAACAGGTATTCCCCTTGACTTGGTTAACACAATTCTAATTTTACCTGTTGATGATTTGAAATATACATACAGAAGACGTCTAAAGACTAGGTAGGACATTGCCATGTCACGTGACATTGTCCATTTCTTCTAATTGGTTTGTTTTAGATTTTTGGATTGATCTAGCAGTACTTTTCAACCGTTCTTATGTACCCGATTTGGAATGAGGGGAAAATGGGGGTGGACGTGCCGATCTAATCAAGCTAGTTCCAGAACACCCTTGTTCAAGAAAGCACAAGATTATCACTGGAAGCCTTGGCATCTCTCTTCCAAAATCTGTGTTCCTCGAAACAATATCTTATTAGTTTATATTTTTTAGTTTTTTGATGTTTTAATTCCTGATTGAAACGATGATGGACTATATCTCAGAATTTCAAAAATTAATCACTGTTCAATGAAAGATTTTGATATGATGATAATTCCTAATTTAATGAATACAGTTTTAGCTAATGTATATTTTAAAGACAAACAGGGTTAGTGATGTGTCTGCTTTACCTTATAAATCAGTAAAAATTTAACAATCAAACAATTCTTACCTGTAAGTTGAAGTGTGATTTAAATTCTGTTTTTTCTGTTCACTGTGTTTGAAATCGCTCGCCCACCCTTTAATTTGTTCTGTTAAAAAAGTTGTCAGACCTTGTTTCCAAGCCTTGATCATCGTATGACTGATTGTTTATAATCAATCACAGGTCAAATAATAAAGTATCAACATCTCATGTGATTTTAATCAGGCCAAAATTGTAATCTACTCAAAGTTTATTTAGTTATAATGGTTGGTCTGATTTGACAGAAAACAAGATTCTCTCTGAGATTATTATTATTCAACTATATTTAAAGTAAAAATTGTTTTCTTTCCGGTATACGTTCATCAACAGAGTGGTTATAAATATGAGCTAGAATTTAAATGTTAAGAGGACCTGAGCTGAAAATTGATCCATCACCACTCTTCCAGTTATTCGTCAGGGCATTTTGCATATACCTCAATTTCACTTACATAGTTTCTACAGGGAAATACCCTTCTTACGTCATACACGATCTCAACCAATTATAATGGATGAAGTTGAAAATTAAAAGTATAATGTGACCATGATTACAGTCCAGATAAGGTCCATCGTTTATCAAGAACAGTATTGAATTTACCTTTATTAAATCCCTCAATTGATGTTATGACAAAACTGTATCTATACACTGTATTGTAGTAAATATTAATCACCAAGTTTCAAAATAAATCATTTGATAACAACACTTCACTTTTAAAAACTATCATCGTAGTTTTAGGTTTTGTTCGAGTACCATGGCGGATGTCTCTAGAGCAAAGCAGGCAATTCCCGCCAGTATTGTCCGAATTATCTTCCTCCATCAGTCTCTGATGGATTTTGTGACAGTTATCGGCTGGAGTCCGAAAAACAGTGTAGGAATTTTCCACACCTTCAAAGACGCCTTTTTTCTAACATATTACATTACCATTACGGTGACTGTAATTTAGTGTGTTACATCAACGTAACTTTCGTTTTGTTAGTATTGCTTCTCTTTGTGATCCTTGAACTTTTGGCCACGCATGCAGTTTTAAATGGCCATCGAAAGAGCAGTATCGTTTAAAATAACTTTGAAGAAACCTCAGACGTGACATAGTGGTGTTGGCGGATAAGGCTGGTATGTCTGAACTACAAAAATATCCATATGTTTGGGGGAGCTCAGTGAGTTTGACGCTTGCTCGCTAACCTGAAGGTCCAGGGTTCAATCCCAGCAAAGGTCGAGATGATACCTTCGGATTTTTCAACCAGTTTTCCCCCTGTCAGTGTCGCAGTTAAGAGGGGCTGACATGGAAAAAGCGTCTAGTCATTCGGATGGGACAATAAACCAGGCTGTACACGTTAAAGATCCCTCGACAGGTGAAATCGAAAAAGAGCAGGTTAATGCCGCTGTCCTGGCATAATTTCCCCCATTGCACCCTGCATGGCGCTGTCCGTCTTCATTAGCCCACATGGTGCAGAAAAGTAGGACGTAAAACTCCATTCATTTCATTTCATTTCCAAATATATTTGGGTTTGGCACCATAGCTAGCAGAGGCTGGAATAAAGGCAGATGTTTCGGTCTAACCCTCTCAGATCAAGTAATGCCACTCTCCAAATTCCTTTGCCCTACAGTAGAGTCAATTCGACAACCATTTCGTAACCATTTCGTTTTGTATGGTACATTTGGTTGTCATTTAGGCATTATTGTATTCAGGTTTGTTATAAAGTCGCCCAAACTAGAAGTGATTTGGAAAATTTTATGACGCAGTTTTATTTGTATGGGCATTCTGTCTATATCCTGTAATTTTCAGATCGATCCGATAATTAGCGCGTGGTAGAAAATTTCAAAAATTATCACCTAGGTGAAAATTGAAGTTTTAAATTAAAAATTAAAAGGGAAATATGTCGTATTCAGACCTGTAAATATCTCAAAGTTTCAATATAGTAGTATTTTCATGCCTGTGTTACTGGCCGGTCAAAGACAAAGCCATATCATAGCAAATTTTTCCGAAGGTCTCCTGTGGCTATGAAAATAGAAACACGCGGAACATTCAGACCTGTAAATATCGCAAAGATTCCAATATAATGGCTATCTGTGTTCGAAGTGTAAAATGGAAAAAAAAGCCTTCCATTCCTTTTGGGTTTTTTGAAACTTTTCCCGACGGTCTTCTATATTTTAGGTGCAGTTGAAGTTTCAAGATGACAATCTAACAAACTTTAAGGGTAAAATGGGGAGAAATATTTTTTATTGCTATTTCTATTAGCCGACTGGTCAATCAAACACGAAGTCTCAACATGGTCATTGTTTTCATTGGCGTATTCAATGTTTCAACAATGTTTTTATCAGTTACCTCCCTTGAACTATTAAAATTGATCAGTCAAGTCACTATTTTTTTCATTTCACCTTCCTATTTGTTGTATATGTTGAGCAGCACTGGTGGGAGTGGCTCAACTGCCATAGGGACTGGTTGAACCAAGTCTACAGGCCTCCACTAAGTGCCCCTCCTCCCCAGAAAAATAATAATGTTTAAGTACTTCAATAACAGGCATAACAATCAGCAATATTTGTCGTCGTGCGGATACTTACTTTTCTAATCACCTGATATCAGTTTCCATTATGAAATACCTACTGACTTATGATTGAAATACTTCTTCGTAATCCTCGTGAGTTTCGCCAGTATATTTTGGGGTATTTCGGGTTCGTTTATCAGTTCGAATCGTTCGAGCGTGGGGAGATATCTGAGATATCTAGCCTAGTTATGAGACTTTTGCCCTAAAAACTTGCTTTCAGGGCTGCGAGGGGGGGGGGGGGGGGGTG